CTTGAAGATCAAGCTAACTATGTGACTCACACGTAGAAAAACTTACCTTGTAAGTCAAGGCATGTGTCCTACAAAGTCAACACATATTAGAGGTCCTATAGAACGTCGCCACGTAGCCCCTAGTTAGATAGTATATATAGAGACAAGAGTGAAGGCTTCTTCACTCTTATCAACTCCTTTTTTGCTCCTAGTCTAGGTTCAAGAGTCTTTAGTTTCTTATCTTGTGGCAATAGCCATTCCAGTTTCCTTTTAATATACATACTTGTTTATATTTTGATTTATTATATCGAGATAGCCTTTTTGTGTATATTTTCCCTCATCGAGTCTTTGTCCTTGACATTTGATGGAGTTCTAATAATATTAAAAATAATATGACTACTATGGTCTTTAAACATTATTTCTATAGGTTTTGATTCATGGGTGATGCTACCAGACAATAAAGGTCGCTCATCTATGACCTCAACATGAACAGGTTTTGATTTTTGTACTAAAGGGATCTTATGACGCTTTGCAAATTCTTCGTCTAAAAAACAAGCAGATGCTCCTGAGTCTAGTAGTGCTAAGGTTCTCAGTTTTTGAGGGCTGATAAACAGAGGGATTGTAAAACAAAGTGCAGGTTGGGCAGAAAGAAAGGAACCTGATTGTTGTTGGGATATTTCATTGTCCAGCCGCACGGTTCCTACTGTGGCTGGGCATCCTCGTTTTCCTGAACAAATACTCCCCTAGTCTTGACTATGCCTCGATTTTGCTTTTTGGGGCAGTTTCCGACTTTGTGGCCTTCTTCACCGCAATACAAGCATAAATTTTCGTCCATACGTCACTTTTTTTCTTCTATAGTAAGAGATTTGATACGTACCGCATCAATTTGCATGTCTTCCACCTCTGGCTGCGAATTCACACCGCTTGCCGACATAGTTGGAGCATGGCGAATTGTATGTTGTCTTGAGCGTTGGTCTTGGCGACGTTGGAATAGGCAATTATCGCACTTCACAGCTTGGCTAATGGCTTCATTAAGCGTTCGTGGATCAAGAAGAGTTAACAGCAAATCCTTCACATCATCTCTTAAACCCCAATAGAATTGACTCATCAACGCTTCTTCATCCCAATTGATGTCGCATACTAATTGCCTGAAATCCGAAGCATAGACTGATGTAGAACGCATCCCTTGTCGTAGCGATCAGATCTTTGTTGTAGCCCATCGAACCTTATCGTGTTCACCAAATGCTTCCGCAAATGCTTCCAAAAAGGTTTCGAAGTTGTTTAATATGGATGATCGTTTCTCAAACAAAGGAGCAAACCATGATAGAGCTTGTCCCGTAAGTAAGGTTCCAATAAGCCCAACACGTGACTCCTCCGTTGGATATCGTTCGGGCTGTAAAACTGTTATCAACCTGATTTGATTGACGAATCCTCGAAACTTGGAACGTGTTCCATCAAACTTATCTGGAAGGCTAACTCGAGGCTCCTTATGTTGTAGAACTAGTGGTTCTTGTCGAACTTGAGGTAAAGTTGTTTCTCCAAGTGCCGAAATTTGAGGCTGGTGTAGTTTAGATTGTGCTATCCCAGATACTCCATCATTATGAAGCCTTGCCACGACTCCTTCAATCTCTGCAGTTCTTTGTGATAACGTAGCGAGGGCATTCATAATAGCATCTAACTTAGACTCCGAACTTTCTGTCATACTAATGTCTTGACCTCCGGCCATTCTAAAAGAAGGACAAAAATGACCCTATAAGAGGCAATATTGGTTTATAGGAGGATAATCCACAACCTATAAAACGCCTTAAGAATTTCAAGAAGAGGGGTAATCCACTCTCTCCAAGAAGAATAAGACTCCAATATTGTAACAGAAGAAGTATCAGTTTAGAGGAGGGTAATCCGCAACCTCTAAAAAATGCTAGTATACCTTCAAGTAGAGAGATAATCCACACTCTACTAAGAAAGAACTAGCTCTGATATCTGAAGTTAGTGGAGTCTCGACAAACTATCACGGACACAAAATACAGACTTAAAATCTAACAAGAAGTTCAAGAAGAAGTGGCAGAACTAGATTAAACAGATGAGTACAAGAACAACACCAGAAAGGTGAGCTAGAACTCCAAGAAATGTGTTGTCGAGACTGAAGAACTCTTCAGCCTCGATCCCTATATATACTCCTACTTAGGAAGCTTCTCGAGCTACTTCTATTAACTAGGAAGCTTCTAGAAGGTTCCAGAGGCTTCTTTTCTAGAAGGTTCTAGAAACTTCTCGAGCTACTTCTATTAACTAGGAAGCTTCTAGAAAGTTCTAGGGGATTCCTTTCTAGAAGCTTCTAGAAACTTCTCTCTAAAAGGTTCCAGAGGCTTCTCTTCTAGAAAGTTCTAAGGAATATGTCCCTAACAGTACCATTCAACTTCTTATCATGGATTTGCTTAAAAATACATAAATATTTTAAAGTCACATTAGAAATATTATTAATTTAAATTTTAAACTAAAATACTAAAAAATACTAATACATGATATATAATATATCACAAGATGATAACAATAAAAAGAATTATGGATTAGTCTTTTTAATATTTCAATAATACGAATTAACTTTTATGTATATTTTTAAATAATTAAAAATATTTTATTTGTTTTTATGGATGTAAAGAAAAAAAATCTATATTGCACTTCATAAAAAAATTTAATTTAAAAATAATTCATAAATAAAAATAAACATGAATACTTTTGAATCATTAAAATTTATATAATTTGATTTTTTTCTAAACTATTTGATTTTTTTACTTGTAGCATTCTTCAAAAATAAAATAATCAAGATTTAATTATTATCTATTTATTCATTTTTATTCTATAAAACATGGTATATTTGATATTTTAATTATAGTTTAGAAAAATATAAGAAAGATATGTTATAATCTAATATCCATGGTAAAATATATAAAAGGGCAATTGAAAATTTAATTATATTAGGAATTATAGTATTTTCATACATAATATACTATCATTATATCATTTTAAGTTATTCTATAATTATATCTAATTATCAAATTATCTTTTTTTTCAATCAATAGTTTTAATATCCACAATTTCTTCCAAATGTTGAAGAAAGGTAGTTTAAAGTTCTTGTTTTTTTTTATGTTCATTTTTTTGTTGTAATTGATCAAAATCTTTAACCATCTTCAATTAATTTAGACCATATCATTTTTATATTATGGTAGTTATTTTATACTTTTATTTTAAATACTACATGTCATTTTTATATATATAATTATTGATGGTGTATTTTTATTGATATTGCTACATCCTAATTAATACATGCCACAATTGCAAGGAGGGTTAAGAAGGGCATAATATCTCTCAACAACAGTCTTGCTAGTCAATCAGTAGGCATGATCAAGAAGCAACATTCTTGCAAGGATCTCTAAAAGTAGAGCCTCCCAAAAGAACTTGTTTTTAAATAAATTATTTTATACATCTAACAAACTAGATCTTCAAAACTTTGTGTGTATCTTAGCAAAAATATTTCGTTTACTAACTAAGTGTGACCAAATTATTTGAGGATATGAGAGTAGTCATTTCAAAAAAAAAAAAAAAAAAATCCTCAAACTACAATGTATAAAGCAAAAATATGTTTCATCTATTGAAAAAAAAAGAGGTTTTTCGTGAAGAAATAATACCTTCTTGAATTTCAAATAAAACCTACTTTTAAAACTAATTTGGAAGAGCATTACCTATATAATTTCTTCTGCATCTCAAAAAAAAAATTTATTATTATTATTTAATATAAAATATCATTAAATATAATTTTTTTTTTTGAGAATTTACTATAGTTATATAATTCTTCAATCATTTATAATGTTATGCTCAATTTGTTATACAAAGAAAAGAACCAAGTGTCTATAGATGATTCTAGCAAAGAAATAATTTTAGAGATGGTTGCTCTCACAAGCTTGAAGAATTTAGTAAGGTCATGCTCAATCCATAGAAGTAACACTTCTACTAGGGCAATTGTAAATTTTTCAAGATTTAGTTTATTACATGAGAAAAAAAAAATGTTCAAAATGAATATTTTTTATAAAGGCTTTGCCTTTGGAGACCTTTGCAAGGGCACAAGTCCTTAATCTCATCTGTTGATTGGTCATTGCAACAATTGAAAGGAGGCATTGCATCTTCCTTATCATTCTTGTTGTTATAGCAAGTATTAATTAGAATGTAGCAATATCTATTAGGCATATAACATTAACAATTTCCATATATATATATATATATATATATATATATATTTAAGTCCATATGATGTACAAACACTATTCTTTTAATAAAGACCAAAAAAGTCATAAACTCTTAAAACACGATGGGATTGTATCATCAAAAATTAGTTGTTTCCAAGAAAATGTCTTTCATGGCCTCATTTCTTAGGAATAGAAGGTAGTTTGTATAAAATACATGTGGCCTAATTCCATATTCTCCAAGTTTGGTAACATTTCCAAAATTTGTGAAGAATGGTGTCAGATTTTTGAGATAAATTTACTAAGCAATGACTACCAATATTTAAAGTAATTTTTCCTCTCTATGTATTTACAATTATATCTTCATGTCAAATTAACCAAATAAGCAATCCTTCTTTGCATGCTCTTGGATCATTAAGACAAAACAAGATTCTTACTAATTTTGTTGAATATGGAAGAAATTCTTCTCTTGTAGACCAATATTGCGTACTAGGATCAAATACATATATATATTAAAATTGTAGTAAAAAGAGTTTCTTTTAAATCAAATAACAAAAAGTTGGCCAATGAGGACGATGGAGACCGTCCAATGACCCAATTGCAAGCGTGGTAGGTGGATGGAATCCTGTGGTGGAGACCCCTCCAACAGCGTTAGTAAACCGGCCCGCTGCTGGGGATTGACACCCGAATCGTACCTAGCCAATAAAGTGCGAGAGCTCAAAGATGAGTTGAGAACTGGGTGGGATGGGGGAGGCGGGTATGCACGGGGGGTGGGGGATTGTGGTTCATGTGAGGAAACCCGTCGACGTCGTCGTCATCATCCGCAGGTGGGGGCTCAGTGAATTGGCGGAGGCGTCATTGTCGCACCCTGTTTCCTACGCGATTCAATCGCAAGGCCGAGTGCAGGCTTGCCTTAACCGTTTTGGAGTTCAGTTCCCTGCGTCTCTGAGGAGAGCGAGACGAGCTGTGGTGTGGTGCGGTGCGGCAGCGATGGGGGCTCAGGGGGATCAGAAACTCACTAGGTCGCAATATGCGAAGGAGCCGATTAGTGTGCATTCCAAGATGGTCACGTATGTCTCTATGACTGCGTTGATAACGCTCTGTCCTGCGTTCGTCATGTTCCTGTAAGTTGTTTGTTCCCAGATCTTGTAAGTTGTTTTTTTTATTTTTATTTTTATTATAAGGTGTGCGCACTGTTTTTGCAACATCCTGAGGTTGAATGGACGGACATTAGTGGCAATGTGATACAAATGTGCGATTTCTTGTTTACTATTACGTCTTTGTCATGCGTATCGTTTGGATCTGAATGGGCTAGTATTTCCATGAAGCCAGATGTTTTTTTTGTAGTACCTTGTGTTGGAGCTTGTGTCGTTGCTCTGGCTTTTCTCTTGGGTAGAACGCTCAGTTATTGGTCGTGGACCGCTTGATGTGATGCATTTTGTTTGATGTGCTTGAAATTTTTTGTCGGGTATACTGTGCTGTCTTCATCGTGTGAGCAGTTAATAACGAGTTTCTGCTGAATATACTTCTCAAACTCAATGTCTGAGTTCAATCATGCAATCACTATTTGTCTGTGCCGTGTTTCTACATTTGATTCTCCTCATTGTTGCTGAAGTGTAATCGCACTTATTGGATGAATCTAGGTGTTTGCCTTCATTTCGACTTTCGACTTAGTACCGATTCCTACATTTTGAAATTGATGTGAACATGTATATATTATGAAGTTTTTTCTACGAATATGAATACTAGCACCTGTCCTCTTTTCTGATGAGCAGGCTTTGAGGATATGTCAATCGGTTCATCTAGTGGTTAATGTGGTCTGTCTACCTTTACCAGGTGGCATACTATGGTGAACCTTGATGGCTCCACGACAAAATATCTCGAACTCTACAAAGTGGAGGGAATTGATGGAGTTCTGAAGACCTGGCCTATGCCCACTATGAACGCTTTGAAAATCATCTTGAGTTTTGCAGCCTTTGAAGCATTTTTGCAGCTCTACATTCCCGGTGAAGTTCACGTTGGTCCTGTTTCACCAGCTGGTAATCGTCCAGTCTACAAGGTATGCAATTCAGCAACCCTGCTATGTTCAATTTCTACTTATTTGGCTTGATGTTCTTTAGCTAAGTCTACAATGACAGAATATGTGTCTATTACATTGGCATTTCGGTTATGTTTCTTGAACATGACGGTCTCGGTCTAAGGAATTGCCTATCGGATTATATTTGATTTCTTACATACAAGGTACAAAACTCACAGGTAACTACATTAATTATCTTGAATAGTTCGTTGGCCTGTATATCTCGTGAAAATGTTGTCTTACTCTAGTAGCACTCTCATTCATGGATTGATGATTGTGCAGAATAATGGGTTCTCATGCTACATTATCACTCTTGTGTCTTACTATGGACTATACAAGTAAGTGGGAATCTCGCTTTCTTTATAATTCATGTACCTTGCAATCCAACTGCTGCCATCCATTTAAGATGTCGGCCTCATTTTAATGCTCTTTCTGATTTTTTGCTCATTCGAATTTACAGGTCTGGGTATTTTAATCCAGCAGTTGTGTATGACCACCTTGGAGAGATATATTTTACCTTGGTCGTTGGAAGTTTCTTCGTCTGTATCTTACTGTACATTAAGGTGAGTTGAGGAACCTATGGCACCTTGTTTCAACTGTAAAGTGTGCCTCTTTACAACGCTTCGTAATGAAATTTTGTTCCAAGCTTCTACCGAGATTATCACGATAATAAAGTTAATGTCAGAGTCATTGCTACCCTTTATTTCTCAAAATTCACAATGACTATATTTACTCAAGTTCTACAGTGTACCTTCTTACCAATTTTGCAATAGATACTTCTTGAAGATATTGGTTATGTTTCTTTTCAACGACTTGTGAACTACAATTTGATACTCCTTCAACACTTTGGGTACGACTCTTCATTGTCTTCACTCTATACTTTATACGTGTCGAAATTCGCAACGATTTTCTTCACATGATTGTACTGTTTGTGCGTCATGTCAGGGTCATGTAGCACCATCATCATCTGACTGTGGCTCGTCTGGCAATGTGCTCGTGGACTTCTACTGGGTATGTGTTATGTGAACTACTGATATCCTTCATAACTGGTTTCTCTTTTCTTCCTAATACGTGTTTAACAATCTGGGAGTCATGTATCTGAATTTTGATATCAGGGAATGGAGCTGTACCCAAGAATAGGACAAAACTTTGACATTAAAGTCTTTACCAATTGTCGCTTTGGAATGATGAGTTGGGCAGTACTAGTTGTCACCTACGCTATTAAGCAGGTATTTTCTTAACCCCTGAAGGTCATAATGATACTTACCTGCGATCTGAAGTGTCGAATTCTCCAGAACTTTACAAAAACTCGTTTGTTGAATGCTGTTCAGTCTTCTCAAATCGTTGATAATACCCTTCGTGATGTAGTAGACAATTTTGCTAGGTTGAGATTTCTTACATGTTTTCTGGTTATTGTTCTTCAAAATGCGAATAAGCTTAGTTTCAAATAATTCTATATTCGTCGATGCTCTCCTATAGGAGAGGAACACAGCTGACGTTATTTATCTCTTTGGTTTTTTTGGTAGATAGAGTTGTACGGGAAGCTTTCAGATTCAATGACTGTCAGTGCAACCCTCATGCTGGTGTATATTACGAAGTTCTTCTGGTGGGAGGCAGGGTACTGGAACTCCATGGATATTGCACACGATCGAGGTTGGTCATGATGTTCATATTAGAAACCTTCAATCACTTGAAAGGCTGGAGGCTTATGATGGCTGTGAAATTTTTGGTTTTGGTTGCTGACAAGCAACAATATTTCAAATGTCACGTCGTAACGCTTTTATTTATTTCTTTTGTGTAATCGCAGCTGGATTCTACATCGTGTGGGGTTGTTTGGTTTGGGTGCCGTCTGTTTACACATCACCAGCTTTATACCTCGTCAATCACCCTGTCGAACTTGGCATGCCTGTACATATTTTGGCCTTGATGACCTCTCATTGTTTATTGTTGTGTACTTAAATGATATTTATTGTCTTCATCCAATATCTTTGCGAGATGAGTTTTCAGTTGTAGAATAATAAAACTGCATTACATGGGCTGCAATTGACTGAAATTGGATTGCATTTTGCATCTTTGACAGCTGGCAGCAGCCATTACTGCAGCAGGCTTATTGTGTATTTGGATAAACTACGACGCTGATCTCCAGCGGCAAACGTTCCGCAAAACTGATGGAAAGGCGAAAGTTTGGGGTAAAGTTCCCAACAAGGTATGCTGATTTTGCTACCTTTTACTCTTATTGTTTTGGCTTTCCCAAATCAACGTGATTTACAGAATGCTTAGCATTCTTCTCTCGTTCTATTTTTTTTTCCTTCCTCTTCAATCGCTTTGTATCTCACTACCACATAGTTAGTAGTTTGACCGGGCCACACTTTCGTAGGTCATATCATTGTTCTTTCCAGCTGATGTCCCACAAGCGTGCATCATTTGTTATTCAAGCTTAAGCTGAATATATGTTTATGTGTCCAGATTGTAGCAACTTATGTGACTGAGAAGGGAGAGAAAAAACAGAGTCTTCTGTTGGTTTCAGGCTGGTGAGTCCAAATTTCTCTGCAGCCTCTTCATTTGTGTCGTCTGTGCAAGCCTCAGTTTCAATTTTTGGATTTTCATGAAACTATTTTTTACTTTGAGTAGAGTCTGACCTGGTGTTTGAGTTGAGAATTTCACAGGTGGGCTATGGCTCGTCACTTCCATTATTTACCTGAGATTTCAGCTGCTTTCTTCTGGACTGTTCCGGCACTCTTCAGCCATGTAAGTCATCGGAAATATTATTTTCTCTTGTTTGGGCCTGGTGATCCTGCACGAACAAACATGAAACTTCCAATACATGGAACAAAGATGAAGTTTGGCTTTATTTCCCTTTCTCTAATATCAAATATAGACTCACTTTTACTTCTAATCATCTGTACCGTAGTGCCTAGGAATGATGGATGAATACGAATGGTTATTACAGCTCATTTGTTTGGTTTGGGATATTATACTTCTATATATAACTACTGTAATATTCTCAAACCTTGCTGTCGATGTTTTGCATTGCAGCCTCTGCCATACTTCTACGTTGTCTTTTTGACGATTCTACTGGTAGACCGAGCAGAGCGTGACGACAAACGATGCCAAACGAAGTGAGTTCTGCTTTCCTGAGGCTTTTATGGTTTACTAGAGCAGTTACGAAAGCATGGCATGTATTTTAAGAATTTGTTCTATCTATTGTCGAATGTGATCAGCTCGTAACATAGATTGGATACTTGTCAGCTTCATCATTAATTAACGATTCTTTTTCGGTATGTCACCAGGTACAAGAAGTTCTGGGACGAGTACAAGAGGACAGTTCCTTGCAAGATTATCCCACATATTTTCTGAGGATTAACAACTGTTGTATGAAATACCACAGTTGAGTAGGGACAAGCTAAATTTTGTGGAAATGACCCCTCTGGAATCGGGCAGCTTGGTCTAGGCGTCTTCAGAGGTTGCTCTACGGTAAATGATCAATGGTTACCCACCACGAGCATATAACCCCAAAACCTGTATTGGATCAGAAACGCAGTCTATCGTCGTGATTCGTACGTCCGCACCATGAGAAGCTGAATACCGGGTATCGAGTATGTCCACCTTACGATTGAGTAGCATATCACTTTATTTAAAGCTATCTTTCCCTAGACGTCGATTGACGGTTATTTCATTCTCGTATTTTTGCATATGAATGTGTTGTTCCCCAGTCTGAGTTTAAGCAGACAAAGATTTCTTTGCTTTGACTATATAATGTACCTTTGTGTTTACCTGAACGTAAAAAAAATAGTGATTATTAACAAAGTGTACTTGTCATTTGTAAGCAAATGAACATTTTTATTATTGTATGTCCAATTTGATCAGAAGAACATTGCAAATGATTTTTAGGAAACAGCAGTTGCATGTGGAAGAAAGTAAAACGTACGCGTAAGTCACATTTCAAAGACTAAATGATAAATAAAGTATGGTTAAGGTATATTTGACAACATCCATAAACGGGACAAAAATAAAAGTTCCCACACAAGCTGCGTACGCAGAGAAGTGAAATGATTTCGCACAATAGAGTGCACTGGTTCAGCATGTTCAGAGTGAGGAATAGGCCAGTCAGTTGGGATATAACTTTTTATTGAAACAGGAGGGCATTTCTACATAACTTACAAGGGAAGCGCTTCCACTCCCAAATTCTTGAAATAGTTGAATCGTCTCTAGTATTTTTTTCCAATTTTTTGCAATTTGCAAGAAAATGGTTCACTTTAGATCATGTGTCTAATATGAGCGTGGATGGCGTGGGTAACACTAGATCACCATTTGCGACAATGTGTCGTTTGAATTCGAGAGGAAGATAGTCCTAAGACTTAGAAAGAATTTTATATGGCCACTTTCCATTGTCGGAACAAGAACCAGCTGTAGTTTAGGGTTGGAGCCCTCTTATTTTCTCTGCATGAAGAATAAGATTGACGACCTCGAACTCCGGGAATAAGTGGTCTAGCTCTTGATGAAAAAATGGTTACTGCCTATCAAAGAATTAGTGACTGGAAATAAGAACATGTTCAGTATCAAGAGATACATAGAAAAGAATTATTTACCATATTGAAGCAACCATGGTGTTGAGGCTGTGGGGAAGAGCCCGTTTGCGAGAATGAGTGGGTGACAAGCTGCCAGAAGACATTGTTTCGGAACCTATTCCCAAGGCGCTTGCAAATATGTCCGGCACGGCTGCTAAGCTTGATTCATCTTGACCCAATTCTAGATTGCTGAATTGTTGATGCTGAAGATCGTAGGTAGATGTGGATAAACCCTGTCATAGTTCACTACCACGAATGTCAGATGTAGAAAGGAATAATAAAACCTTAATAATTACACTCAATCTATGTTGTCTGGTGGATGACGGAAGAGAATGAGCTCCAAAATTCACGTACCGGCTGCAAATGTTGCTGTTGTTGCATTTGCTGCTGTTGATAAAGTTGCCGAAGTCTCTGAACTTCTTTCTGCAGTGCCTCGATGTGTGCTGTTGGTCACGAAATCAAGTTAATCATCATTTATACTTGTTGCCATGCTATGCAGATAATTACCAGCTTCTGATATAACTAGTAATAAAGACCATTCGCTCGCACCAATCATTTACTACCCGAGAAAATAAAGTTCAATTTAATGCATACATACAGAGGAACCCAACTGCAGATTGATTTGTCCATTAGGACAAGTCAAAAAGTTGATGCTGGAATGTGGTCATGATCCTAGTAGCAATGCTAAAAATGGCGTATGAGTGCTGTCTATGAGCATCAAGCCTAGTGATAATGGATTTTATGGGATTTCTTACCATCCTTAAAGCGCTGACCCTGCGCCAGGGCAGCCATCTTCTGCTTGATAGTGTTGTTGTCTACATTGAGAACTGCTCTCCTATGCTCAAAGAAAGCAACTTGAGGAGCCATGGTGGACACTTCTGACTGCCAAGCAAAAATATTTAATAGATGAGATCAAGCTTCCACTTGAAAACTAATGGAATCAAGGTTCAATTGCATGTACTGATCCTTAGAGCTTAAATAATAAAGAATATGCCCCTTGAGAATACGTGTAGATACCTGTAAAGCAGTGACACTTCTCTCGAGTTCTGAAATATACTGCAGCTTGCGAACTCGTGAACGCTGAGCTGACTGTCGGTTAGCCAGTATTCTGTACACGACATAAATATCTCAAAAATTGAGAAGAGGCGCAACAATGTTACAAAAGAAATCTTCTTTGGATGAATTCACGACAAGATATGAAGTTCTATCAACCGAGGATAATGGAAATTCCTACCTTTTAGCACGTTTTGGATCCAGACTCGAATCAAGACCCGCCAGAGCTTGCTGTAATTCTCCCTTCGATAGTGTTTGAGTCCCGCCCTCGAGATCTCCAGAGCTCTGGACATCAGGTTCACTCTTATACTTCCCGAAGCCTCCTTTTGGATCCTCATTTGAGACATCACTCACACTGTTGCTGTCAGATGGAGTAGCAGATTCGCTCTGCTTTGTGCTGGGAGGTGTTTGTGATCTTTCTGATGCCCAGGTGTCACTGCCAGAGGTACCGCCTGGATTGTTTGCTGAGACGTTGCGAGTGAACAGTTGCTGATGGTGCTGTGGTTTTCGATGCAGTTTGGCATCATCATCAAACATGGATATAAGCTGATCTTCATCGAGCCTACCCATGAACCGTGAGTCATATAAATTAGCAATAGCATTCTTTAGAGGACAATGCAGATGCTGTGATCAGATGGCTTAGGACACATTCAAATGAAATCCACTGAAGTCTCGAAACTATGCACATAAGATCTAGCTGCTTGCAAGAACTGCCCAGATTATCACTCAAATATCCAGCAAATATCAGATACAACAAAAAATAGCATGTCGGATTTCATGTACCTGTCAAAGTCAAGAGAACCACATTCAGAATGGATTGAGGCTACACTTCTAGATTCGTGGTCCTCTTCTGTGACGTTATCATCTACCATCTTCGCAAAGTTAGTACCATCCATAAATGCCATGGATTCACTAGCAGATCGTCGGTGTGCACCTCTTTTTAAGGAGATAGATTCAGGAGCATCCACAACTCCATCCGTCCAATTAAGTTGTGACTACATACAACAAAACAAAATCACATTAAAATTACTTCGACATTTGCGTAGAAATGCGTAATCTGAAATCATCACACCGACACAGCACCTTAACCGCAACGTTGTAACAAAAAAAATGATAACGATTTGAGAAAGATCAACAATCGTACAAGGTCAAAAAATCTACAAGGTCCTTACTTTGGGAGGGAATCCAGCTGACGGGGTGCGCTTATGATTTCCAACTCTACTCGGTATATTGGTGCGGCCGGCAGCGCTTGAATCCACCGGGCTTACTCCAAAGCTTGGATACGAACCGGGGCTCTTCGGTGGAAGGTGAGATGAATTCATGGGAAATGCTCTATCCATAGCACGTCCCTCCATTTGACCAGCTTGAGTAGCCATGCCTTTACTTTGATGCTTTCTTTTCGAAGCAGATCCTCAGTAAGACAATGTTGTCTGCAAAGATTTTAGATGCGGATGTACCCAACGAGCATGTGTGAATAGATGGAAACTATAGACGAGCAGCACTGCAATGGGAAAAAGAAAAGACAACATTGAAGGTAGTCAATGCCAGTTATTTTCCTCAAAAAAAATCATAAAGTTCAATGGTTCAAATACGACCAACACAAGAAGCTGTACCGTTCCATCTCAAGATCCTTCTGTATGTAAACTGGTCGACTAGTTATTCACCGTGCGGCAACATCTAACACGGATTACGTAGCTTAGGGCTTATAAGTGTGGTGCCGAGTATCTGAGCAGTTCGCGTTAGGTTCACAAATTCGCACCTATATCCTGTTCCAACCATACCCTACATTTACTACAACTCTGACAGAACATAAATCACATGACGACGCTGTTTTGTGATAGTCTTCTGTTACTCTGTATTCAGGTTGGATTTTATCATCATCTCTACTTCAGCTGCAACCCATTAATGTGCGCAGGTGCGCTCCATTAGAATAAAAAGATTCTAGGTGTTCTAAAGTGACTAAATGGTTTTTAGTCTTAGTTCAAATTCAGATAGTGCACTCATTCCAAGCCTATTGCCGCTGATATTATACTGAGGAATGTGCAAACAGAAATATTCGAACAGAGCGGCTGGGACCTATCCTCTGTATATATGCTACCGCAGATAGAGATCTGACAACTCCTGTAGCATCCCAGAAGAGAAGAGCAAAGGAAACACAAAAACTCACATTTTCTCCTGAAACACAACATTGAGCGGCTGACAGCAAACTAAGTCCCAAAAGCTCATCAAATCTGCGCCAGCCGCTCCATCAAGGCAATCTTTGAGGTAGCCACGAGGACAACCCCAAGCTACTAACTTGAATGTCTTGCCTTGTCCCTTGATATGTCCAACAGCCAGAGCATAACTCAGAGGAGGAAATGTTGGCGAGTTGTTGATGTTCGGCAGTACTGAACCTTGAAACGAAAGAGGCTGTTGAATGTTGTATACCATCACCAAGATTCAATGTGAAGCTAATAAATGCTCCTCAGAACTCCACAAGACTTTCTGACTTATTCAGTACATTTTTCCATGAAAGAGTATAATGGAGTTCATGATGGCCAAGTTCTAGTAAAGCCTACAGTACACGCTTCGTTGATCCTGCACAACAGACAGAAAAATAAGTTGCTTTGTTCCGAAAGATGTGAAACTCCACATTTTCCCAGAAACCTGAAGACGCGACATAGTATCGTGTACTGTTGGGCGACCATGATGAGATAATCAATGTAATCGAGCAATGCAAGTAATTCATAATGTAAGCTGGCAGAAAAAAGAAGAATGCGGGGTTTTCAGAACTTGTGTGTGATGTGTGGTACTGAAGGGACTGACCAAAGAACAACCAAGATCTGAGATCTACATTTTGGCTAGCGCTGAAAAACACGTGAACATAATGGGATCCCTTGTGCAGATTACATCCGCCAACATGATATGAAGCTTTGTTTCAATATGCAATACGACTATGATCGATAACCCCACCCCATCTTTGAATTCCATAGTAATCGATACGAGTGCTCCCAAAATACCAGTGAACTGAAAAAAAAGTAATCGCATTCCGTCTTCACCCCTCACAATGCTCAATGCAGGGTCATGGCTACAACATTGATGTGGTCTCCGTCCCGAATCCTGGATCGTGCTAGACCTGTCCACCCCGTCCTCTCGCAGATCTCTACCACATTATCGTAGCGATCACTTCCCAGCTGGGATCTGCGATCAAGAAATCCGCGAGGAACCGAAACCAATCCCTAAATGGCCTGCTCTATTCAGTCGCAAAGGAGCTGCATGCAACCACGCAACGGCACCACCTTTCCGAGACTTATCAGTGAGCAAGCGAAGACCAACCTTAGTCTATGTCTTGCCGGAATCGGCACAACTGACGCTCATTCGCTACGGACACTTGAAAGACACCACACATTGTTGTCCTTCATCTTCGCAATGACCCGAGATCTAGCGACAAAGTGCTACGGCAGCAGCGGGGGAGGCAGAATGCAATGCACTAGACGAGGAAGAGGGAGAAGGAGAAGAGAGAGCCGCGAGCATGGAGGAGAAGTAGCTGGGATGTGAGACGAAAACCTTTGTAATGTAACTGGGATCGCCTCTAGAAAGATTACTTTCGGAAAGATGGGCCTTCTCTTTAGTGTTTTTTTCTGGAGTCTCTAATTGATTGCACTATTTCCCCCCGAGGTCGTGCTTCTTCCGGCTCTCGCAATCAGCCAAGATCTTGTTTCCAGGAGAACAGGCTCCACAATTTAGTATCACCACATTCAACATACAAAAATACATTCCTCCAGCAAAATTAGGGCAATTCCCCAGGGCATAATGTATTCACCAAAATGCAACAACATGGTGTTCACATACATTCTACATGGTGCCCCATAGCATCCATTTTTTTGAAGATGGCTACTAGAAAAATGAATGCTACTTTTGATAAATGGTTATGTCGCATTTCCGTAAGTGCTCTTGCAGTGGCAACCAATTAGTTTATGAACTTATTAATAATTGTATCCTCTTTTATTTCTAACTTCTTGTATGGTCTACATGACGACCCCTCAAAATCTGTGAAAGCCCGCGAAAGTGAAAGCAATCACAATGTGTAATACCTGACAAAATACCTCTCACGAAACCAAAAATGGAGCTCTGGATTTACTAACAATAAATAAAGGAGTGAGAAGGATGTGGTAAAATGTTGGAGCCATAGCAATATTCCGCTTTCACCGTGGCTAAAGGATGCTGCTGAAGACACACATGGGGAAAGAACAGACTCGTCTGCAGTCGGGGAATTGAAGGAAAGAGGGTGTGGTGATATGATGAGTTTGGCGTTAAATCTAGATTCCTCTGTTTCCCATAACTTTCTGCAGCGTTGTGTGAGCATGATGACACTTCAAACTCTTGTGCAGGGCTAGACATCCAGTTCGTGACAGGATGGAGAGAGAAGACGAGTGTGTGTGTGCGTGTGCGTGTGTGTTTTTTTCTTTTTTTTTTTTTCTTTTTTTTTTTTTTTCCTTTACTAACTGGGGCTCGGCATGAATGCAAGGAGAAGTGGAATATGTTGTTTGGGGAACATTAACCCACCCAACCACGTCACCAGTTGCCAAGCACCAACTCTGTACTTCGACAAAGGCAACAACAGAAACTAGGCTCAATCATGTCATCCCCTTTGATTGTCTATCGTGCTGAAAGTTATATTTGTCTCCGCAGAGCTGGTACGTAAGGCAAGGTGACTGTCTACCTAAGCACAAACTCGGCCAATTTCACTGCAATTATTCCAGCTTGGACTAAGCAATTTTTCTGCACAAGGATGCTTCGATGTTTGAAATCACAGATGGCACATGTGGCTGCAGAGTGTGGAAACATGGAAGTTCCGATTACGCAGGGGAAGATGTCAAGCATGAGATATCTGTGAAGCATCATCTGCTGGTGCGTCGCAGTTCTCAGGAATAATTGGGACAACGTGGATTTCTTTTTCGTTCGTGCACAAGGGAAGAGTTCAGATTTCAATGCAATGCATGAGCAAATTGACTGTCAGGGACCATCTCCCTCTCACTGCTGCCTGCTTACAACAATGTTTTTTTCCATGATGGTGAATCGCATCATTTCCAGACTCCACGTATGCTGAATAATAATGATAATAGTTATAATATTAATATTAAAAAAGAAATCTCTGGCTCGAAGTTGACGTCCGTGGTGGATAAAGACCACCAACCTGATGTTACGTGGATTGTACTTGAGCTCATAATTAGGAGGGGGGGAGCTGGTGTGGCGAATCTTCGAAACTTTTATTCGAGACATTTTTTTTTGGGGGTGGGGGGATCAAGCGTTCATGTTATATCCTCAGGTGCAGAGTTTAGTTAAATCTGTAGTACTATACAGCAATGGAAAAACCGCGTGCAACGAAGAAACGTGGAGGGAGGAGCCGAGCAAAGAGCGGCGAAGGAGTTGGAGAAGGACCCATAATTGGCACATGTGGGTGGATTTATTGTGGAGGTGTTCCACGCTCCCTAGTTTATAACCATTCCCCCACTTGTTTTACCTCCTGGCCTTCAAAACTTCTGATTTCACCACCCTCTTCGGGCATCGCTCTAACCGAATGTACTCTGTGCATTAGGACCACCCAAAGACGCTTATTGCAGGCAACAATCGAAGGGGAATAGTGGGACTCCCGATCCACTCTCATCCACGCAGGCTTCCGTCAGCAGGATGATGCCCAGCTTCACCTTTGAACATGCCCTCATGATTGCTCATCCCCCTCCCCCACATTCCCTTCATTTTTATTTTATATTTTTATCCTCCTAAAACATCTCCCCACTACGCACCCAGTGGATGAATTTTGAGACAGAGTTGGGACGACGACAACAACCACCACCCGGTTTGACTGACCATTCCTCCTTGCACTAGTGAATAAGCAATGCACACTGCACACACTGTGTGTGTGTGTGTTTGTGTGTGTGGTGAGTGTAAGGCGTGAAAATGGTTCATCTGGGACGAGTGTGGGACCTTCTATCGATTCCCGATTCCCAGCTTAGATCAGATGCTTGTCAGCTGCCATTCCAAATCCAGCATCATGTTGATGTAGGTAGACGGGCATCACCACAGACACACACACACACACAGCCACCCTCGGAAAACCTCATCCCACCACTTGTGCAAAATTAATGGGACCCAACTCAAAATGTAAAACCCACTCCTTTCGACACCAAAGACCCACCCCTCTTCTTCCTCTACTTCTTCTTCACCAACAGTGACGTTAATGAAAATTCCCAACATTCTCTCTCTCACCCACCCACACTCCTCGTTTCTTGGCTTGCTTCCTTGCTTTCTTCTTCTTCTTCTTCTTCTTCTTACCACTCCTTTTTCTTATGTGGTGGAAATCCCATTACTATTTACAAACATGAACATACGTACATAGACACATACATATATTATGTATATATGTGTGTATGTGTGTGTGTGTGTGTATCTGTATGTACATATACGTAGAAAGTCCAGAGTCTAGGAAGAGTGAAGAGGAAAGAATATGAAAGGGAGTGGGAGAAATTGAAGGGGGGGGGGTGATCCCCTAGCAGCACCAGTAGCAGTTTTTTGTGTATATCCTGTATTATAATGAGGAACCGCCTACCTACCAAAATAGAAATCCTTCAATTCTACTACACTTGATGCTTTGATTGCTTTCTGTAATCTTTCTCTTTATCACACTGCTCATCCATTTTCAAAAAAAAAGGCAAAAAAAGAAGAAACACAAAAACAAAACTCCAAAAACAAAAAAGTTGCCATACAAGTGCGTACACTTGGGGCCTTCTACCGAGACATCTGCACAAAGACATTTTTACAGTTGACGTCATAATTTTCAAAACATTAATGGGTTTTGGTATCACAATCAATGTTGTGTTGTTGTTTATGTTTTGGTTCTGGGTTCATCTTTGTTTTTCTTATCAAAATTTTCTAGATAGACATTTATTTTGGTTGATGTATTGATCTCCACTGAAATTACTCATTTATGATCGTTATTGTTATCATTTTGAGTAGCACAATTCTTAAGCTTTTGGGATTGATTTGTGCCATATTAGTACTGTGAAAAAGACTGATTTCATTTTTATTTGATTCAGTTTTTCTGGCTGTAGTTATAGTTTAAAACATTAATAATGTGTATTTTATTTTTAATTTTCTTATGTCTTTGAAGATTGGTATCATTCGATTAAAGAGAAAATATATAACATTGTAATACACATAATCATGAAATTTTCTTTTGTATTTTGTATATAAGATATCTATACTGTGTTTTTCACCAAGTCTAAAAATAATATGATTTGAAATTTGACTTGATTTCAATGGTTATTCAAGTTATTAAACAAAAATACCTATATGTATATATAGATATAGATATACATATATACATAAAAAACTAAGTATTTTAGCATAAAATTATTTTAAAAAATTGGATGTAAATTATTGTTAATTATATGCTTATGAATCTTGTAGGAATGGCAATTTGAAGGCTTTTACCTCAAAATAATGATTTTAGTGTGCTTTGAATCTAGCAAGAAACTCAACCTCAATGACAATTTAATCAATACCTCACAACACGTTTCTGGTTCACAGTTACTAAGCTTTGCATATTTAAACATTAAAATAAGATATTTAAATTAAAATACGAAGTGTTGAATATTTTGTAAAATTCTACATTAAATAAATCTCATTTCTTAATTAAAAAACCAAATAATTGTTAATTTTTTTATATTTGTGATAAGGTAATTACTTTTATATTGTTGTTTGAATATAAATACAAATATTCAATTAAAAAAATTCACAAAATTTAATAAAATTTTAATATGTATATGTGTATATATTTTTTTCATTCACTTGTCTAATTTGAAGTTATATTAGTAAACGTATAGTCTATTTAAAATATATATATCTTAAAATATTAAATATTTACTTATTTAAAATATAGATGTCTACTATTTAATTCAACAATTTATAAAAGAAGGAGGAATGATTGCAAAATCTTGTATAAAGTATTTTAGAAAGTGATTATTTTTTATTCATAGCTATTAAAAGCATAGCAATATATTAGAAGAAATTCATATTTTTTTTTTGTTAATAAAACAATAACAGTTTGTTTTGGATTAGTTGTATAATTAATAGGTCTTACTTGTTTTTCAAGTTGAATTCTAACAGAAATCAACACTTTCTAAAATTAACTTTAAGACATTAAGCATAAATATTAAGCAATTCTTTAGCTCAAAATGTAAATCTAATTACAAAAACTTTGTACAATGCCATTAGAGGTGTTGTGGTACAATCCTTAAAAATCTATATTTATATTAGAATTCAAAAATCTAGTGGGAATTTTTAATATTTTTGCATGTGCATCAAGGATTGTAAGAGAAAACATTTTAAAATGCAAATTAGAAAACATCATTTAAAAATGACATTTTTGTCAAGTCAAGGTGAACATGGAACATAAACTTATTGGATTGCCAAATAATTGTAATTTAAATATGATGCAAATTTGTCTCTAACCTTTAACAAACTAAGCTAAAGAAGATTATTATATCTAAAAGTCAAAAGTAAATAAATAAATATCAAACTACTTATTAAAGTACATTTTCCAAGTGACTCTTGATAAACTCAAAAGATACTCAAATAAAAATTTATATTTCATGAGTTTTGACATGCAAAATGATTTACTTAGTCTTGACACAATATACTATTTTCAATTAAGCTTATAATATCAGTCTAATCAACCATAATAGTAGTTATTTGATTACAAGCACATAAAGCATGTATACAACAAATACTTGGTTATCATGTTGGTAATGCTCTAATATTACACCTAATATAAACTCAACAAATCCTGGAAAAACTGTCCACTAGCATCCAAATCGCAGTGTAAGTAAAAATAATTCGAGGGGGAGACAGAAAGGAATTTACGAAGAGGAATCGTATGCATCAAAGAAATTGTGCAGGGAGGCATGTGTACCAGGAGACAGAAGGCGAAATGGGGCGAAGGGTGGCAGAGGAGGAGGAAGGAGGGTCAGAAACAACAACGATGACGACGACGACGACGACGATGATGATGATTTGTGAGATACCTGGAGTCGATGAGGCCGCAAGATGATGGGGATGGGAAGGGGGAGAGAGGGGAGGGGAGGGGATGCGATATGTGAGGAAGCGGGCGACAGAAGCGGGGCCTGGCGAGGCAGGCAAGGAACATTACCTGGGCGGGTTGCAAGCCTGGTCTCTGGCTGGCAGTGGTAGGAAAAAGTGCTGGTCGTGGGGGAAAAAATAGCCCTGACGTTCCAGCCCTGCCTTCTAAATTTACTCTCTTCCGCCATGGATTTCAGTCCATTTCCTGCCTGGATCCTAAACTTAGCATATCGCTTTCCCCACTTAATCATTCATGTCGTCTTTAGGGTGTGCCTGATGGTTGTATTCAAGTTGCACCTCTAAAGCAATCTGTGGATCTAATGGATGGGCAGTGTTCCCTCCATTTGCCCTGCCCGCCCCGGTGTTCGCTCACATGCTGCATGCGCAGCGGGACCTGCTCTCCAGGCCTGGGACTCTCCGCCGCACCGGTGCAGTTGTTGGATATTCAGAGACAAAAGGATAACACTGCAGGTGAGCCCCCAACTCCTGTGGTCGCTTCGACAGCTGGTTTCCATCATACACCTAACTCACTGTGCTGGTCAGTAAGTTTGTCGAGGATAAGAAAAAAATATCCCCAGTAGTTACCCAGTCTGTATTCCACAAAGCAATTGAACCTGACTGTGGACAATATTTATGGGAAACTCAGGGCTGTCGTGTCTGTTACCATGTGAATCGATTCTTGCTTCTTTTTTAAGGCTCAACAACGTGGACTCATGAATGAAAGTTAGCAGGCTACAATACAATCTTGAGCTGTTGTCAGCAGACCATATGCATGATTACCTCACCACAACTGCCAACACAAACATCGAAATTCTAGGTGATCCATGGTCAAAGCGGAAAACAACATTCAAGCGATCACCGGTTCTTTTGAATACCGCACTTAATACAACTACAAGCACCACCTTAAAATAGTCCACATGGAGCTAGCATAATCTATGACTAACATCACGGAGAACCTCAAGACGCAGAGGAGGGATTGGTTATAACATCATTGAGGTTGCATGATGTTTTAAATAAGATCTCAGGGTAGATATGAATTAACCAGCTCTAGAAATTCAGGAGCGAGTGTTAAGATCACAGACGGGTCCTCACTGGTGACTTTTGAGCCAGTACTACTCAGTTCTAGAACCATCTGTATTCACCTCAACGCACCTATGATCAACGCGCATTGCAAAATTAAATGCCGGCAATTGGTTCCTGCACAATCACGTCTGGACAGTATGTCGATCACATAATTAATTTCATCAGGTTGTCAAAACAAGATACACACCAAATTAGCACGCATGACTGTTACGAAGAGCACGCATTATTCTTCTAGACTCAGCATCATTCAAAACAAAACAATCTACTCACTAATGCCTAATCAATTCCTTACTGGTCAAAACTTCTCTTCAACGTCTTCAATATTTATAGAACTGTTCAAACTGTGGGCCAGATGACGTTCGCCACATTCGAAGAGGTAGAATGTAGATATCTTCACGAGGATCTCTCATGATGGACTGGACATATTCAATGTAAAGACATCAAATTAAAACAGATTATTGTGCTCAATGCACATTCCAGAGTCAAGTAAACCTCCTGTTGGGGAAGATGTGAAAAATGCCACATATTGAAAGGTTTTATGAGGATCCAATTCCAGCAAATCGCTGATTGCTATAGCTATTCAGTTTTAACCCAAGGAAAATGCAATCCAAGATAGAGCACACATTAGATCTGCCGCTGTTTCCTTGGTGCGAGGACCATTGGGTGGCGCAGAAGGGTCGGAGTACAAGATTCGGCCAGATTTCCGGATCTTGCCGACGACTCAGATTCACACCATTGGCTGATATTGACAAGATACGGCTGGCCTTGGCACAAAACACCTGAAATATGAAAGACATATACACGTCGGACATGAAAACTCAACTAAAATATGTAAGGTTCACCAAGTGCATGACCCAGTATACTCAGCAAATACGCAGACAATGAGTGCGATGACACCCTTATATTGATGTGTTTTTTCAGAATGATAATGAAGTGGATCTCATGCATCTACACAATAATTGGACACTTGCATGATATGAACAGTGTTTCACTGCAAGGTCGCCTCGAGAAATTAGATAATCTTTACACAATCTTTCCTACGCAATCATAACTCATTGGTTCTCTCCAACGACATTCAATCGATTCTTAAAAAAAACTTACATCGACAGAGGTGGAAGCTCAGAATGATGCGCCTCTTTGAACACTCAATCAATTCGTTACATATAACCGACCTCAAAATGGCGAGTTAGTGCGATAACACACTCATTCGAAGTAAACCCTATACCTTTGAAAAAAATTCACCATCCATTCAGAATTGATCATCACCAATCCTTTTTAAGGGTAGGGAGAAAATTCACCATCCATTCAGGTAACATTAACTATCGAAAAGAGCACTCTGGCACTTAGTATCTTCAGCTTTGTGCCTTCTAAGACTCTTCTACCATCACACCCTGGGATACTTTTTGCATCTTCCATACTCACATATATAAGTAATATACTTGGACGCTACGAAAAGTTTCTACTGGCGCATCAAACTCCAACACCTTAGGAGCTCGAACTCAACCACAGCGTCATGGGCTTCAAGTTAAACACATTTGTGACACAGATGCTTTTTAAGCACACATACGTGTTTCACAAATGAGAATGACTCTTTTGACGTGTGTGACGAGCCGTGTAAACATTCTAGCATTCCTCAGAATATCCAACTTCAAATGAAAACAGTAGACTATTGAAGCATCGAGGTAAATGGTAACTTCTGTGGATGATAAGTCGGACTGGATCGTCATGAACACGCAAAGACGATCCGACATCTGGCTTAATTCGACATGCTTCACAGCTGTGGGGGAAGCATACTTAATTTACTAGAATCTGAATTTTTATTTCAATTTACAACGTGTGTGCAGTCAGCTGCTGTAAAGAATACCAGATTTAAAGTCGAAAAATGTGCGAATTCCACACCTACATCACCAATGTGAAAATTACGTCCACTGACCTCTGTAATTTTGTTCGTTGTAATCAAGCATCACGTCTTCTAATGCTGCGCCTGAATCATTGACCTGGATTTCCGTGAGTGTTTCCGCATGAAGGTTCAATCAATAGCGTTAAAAAAGCTTAAGTACACAAGCGAAGCGAAACTAAGCCAAGAAGTTGAAAATCTCACAAACCAGTAGTGCAAGAACTGAACCAAAAGGCACGGCAGCACTTCACAATTCAACAACCTTCGTTGATCAAACTAACAGTCGTAGAGAAACATGAAAAAGCGAATGCTGATCTCACTCAATCGGATGGAAATTGCGCGATATTGTGCCTACAAGCATGAGTCACAAACTTCGAGAAAAATTCAAAAGAATTAGAACAGCAACGCGGTGCATGACAGTCAAAAGATGCTTGCACTTGAAACAGATTGTATTCCTCACCTGAAAGTTCCTCTTGACACTTCCGCTGCCGCCACCACCTTCATTTGCAGCGGTGAGGGCAAGCTGGAGAGAATAATGCTGAAATCGCGACGCCACTGCGTCTGGCGCTGCACGGCAAAACTTCCATCGCTCCTGCTAATCGAAGACGGTGCGCTTCTGTTGCTGTCCCAGGGGAAGCAACATCATCCCCGCCCTCGCCGCGTCCAACCCCCTAACAAGCTGGACAACGTGCAACCCCCTAAAGACTTCATTACACACACACCAACACGCGCAAAGAGAGACAAACCTGGAGTGAGCTTGGTCTTGCGAGAAGACAGCCTCGCAGACACCTCCTCTTGTGTGGCTTTGTACACTTTGCTTCACGCACATCTCTATTGCAATCCTTTTCCTTTGCTTTTTCTCCTTCCTTTTCTCCTTCTTTCTATATATTTTCCGAATGCTTGATATGTTTAACTTGGCAGCAAGCTATTCCAAAGGGGTTTTATTGATATATTTATTTTGTAAAATTATGAAGTCTAAAAATAATTGCTATGGGAAGACAAGATCAATGTATTGAATTCTACATATATTTATTTGTATACACGACTCAAATTCAATTTGTTTAAAATATTATAATCAATCATAACTAAGAAAACAAGAATAAGGAATCGTAAGGATATATATATATTTCTAAAAAGAAGAAGGTTTTGGATTAGACATTGCCAAATATAAAGATATTACAAAATCTTGGATCAAGACTAGAATAGAAGAAATGAATTAATAAGACTAGGGATAGAAGCAATCTTGCATCTATATATTTTAATTAATAGAAAGTCTATATAAAAACTTTTTAATAAACCACAAGCTTGTAAGCCACATGTCCAAATCGTATGGCAATTTTACATTGATTTTTAAAGTATAAATAATTTCTAAAAAAGACATTCTAGAACCACATGGTACATCCAAGAATACCTCAAAATCGAACTTACATTTTTAAAACTTTTTAAATATTACTTAAGAAAAATACTATTTGTTTGACATATTTGTATACATTTCTATTTACTTAAGTAATATAGATGTTTTTAATACATACATATGCAGAAGTGATATTTAGAATTTATATGTCTGTTATTGTTTGAAACTAAATTGTGAGTAACTATCATTTGGTCAGAATTTAATTTGAGATTATTAAAACAATAAATAGTGTCATATCAAATGTTGAATTAAATCAACAATAATCAATTTAAAGTTAGCATTATGAAAGTTTATGAAAAATTGCAATATTTTATTTTTTAAAATAATATTAAAAATATATACTAAGCTGTTAAAATATTTTAAAATGTGCACCAATATAATCCTACAATTCGAATATAAAAGCTATTTTTATGCTACATTATATTACATGTATTTAATAAGTGATGTTACTTTTATAAAATACATATATGTATATAAATAAATAAATATATATATATATATATATATATATTCTGAGATAATAATAATCTAAGTAATTAAAAATAATCAATATTTTAGTGAAAGCCAAATAAAGGTAATTCAAAATTAAATATTATGTATGTTTTAATATTTATAAATGACAGAACAGGAGTAGAACTGGATGTAGAAACAAAATTGAAGATCAGCGATTTATAAATCATTGATATCAAAGTGCAATACGTACCTGGATAAATCATAGCTGACAAAAACATCATAAACAAAAAAAAACAAATGTCTATCTTGCATCAACACATTACATGCATACAATCCAATGAATTATGCACAGAAACTACTACAGACATATTATTTCAGAACAAGATGGCAAGTTCATGTCCAGTCCGAATGGGCATTGCTTGTTGATTATTTGTAAACTTTGTTTTCCCTATACAGAAAATTAACAGTGAAGGCAGGTCGGCTTGAATGGAAGCCCCTGGACGTATTTCCGGAATTGAAAGCATAAATGTATAGATAAGAATGTATAATCGGTACATGTGAAGGGAAAGAGGAGGAGGAGGAGGAGGAGGAGGAAGAGGAGGAGGAAGAGGAGGAGGAGGAAGAGGAGTTGTTGTTGTAGTTGTTGTTGCAGAGGAGGAGGGGGGAATCGGATTCCATGGCGGCACTGGCTCGGGAGGGAGGGAGATGGAGATGGAGTTTGGCTCTAGAGATGGCAGGTGCTCCTCACGCTGCCTTGTGTTCCCGTCATGGCTCGTGAGGTCAGTGTCACGTACGCCGACTGAAAAGCGGCGAAGAGGGCAGCCTCGTTGGTCGCGTACAGCGACACGATGGGCGCTGTCCGTGGATCTGTGCTGAGCAGGTTGTCGACGGTGAAGAGGCCTCGTCCATTCTGAATGTCTTTAAAATACTGGTTGTCGAATGTGAACTGAGACGCGTCGTTGTTGAGGATTGCGATGTCGAACACGTTCACTACGCATGCCGCCCGCAATTGCGTGCGGTAGAGGAGGCTGGTAGGGGCAGTTGGACTGTTGAATCGCAGACGATCTTGGATGTTTTTGCAATGGCCTCCTCCGAGAGTGTGTGCTCCTGCACAGAAATGGAATTTGCGGAAGTTAAGTGAACGATATTGTTCGTCAGAATTCCTGGATTAAACTATTGCATCGTGACAGACTTGTTATTCAAAATCATACGTGATTTTTTTTGTTTTTGTTTTTGTTTTTTTCAACTTTCAATCCGGTTCTGTACCTAAGCTGGCAACACTTTCTGCCAAGCTCATGCCAAAGGGAGCGAAGACACTAAGGATTGTGTCCACACTGGAGGTGGAGGGCGGGAGTTTAGCATCGGCCTCAGATGCGCTGGAGAAATCTGCATCCTTTCTCCCGAGAGGTATTTGAATTTCAGGGCCACCACTGAAGGCAACTGCATCCCGTCCGACCATGGCGATAATGTCCGCGCAGGAAACCGTCATAGGACACATCCTCTCTAAATCGGCTTTCACGGAGTTGATAATGTCCAGGCGCTTTACGCCAAAGTTGCCGCCAGCGTCCATCTCTCTGCCATTGCCCTCTACCATTATAGAGCCATCACACCCTCCCTGCACAATGAGCAATTCCTTCAAGATGTCGAACTGGGACCAGTACCCACCGATCAAACATGGAGGCAATTATTGGAAAGCAATGAAGCACTACGGCTAGACATACAATACGTACCTCGATTAGCTCAATATAGTTTAAAATTGGTCTAATCAAACTTCTACTGGAGTCGGCAGGCTTAAGTTTATTTGCCATTACTTGCACAAGCTTCCCAACACTAATCCTCTGCAAGGAAAAGAATCTCCTAATGCTTACTCATGTTTTTGGAATCTGCTATTCTAAAACAATTTAAGCGAGCTATATAAATTTCATTCAAATGCTCTCACATATTAAATGCCCAATTCCGGCCTCAAATAGCTACAACATTAATACTAGGCTCTCGCTTAACAACACGAGGAGCAAATGGTGAGGTGCACCGTCATAGTAAGCTGGACATCATTTGTGCGTTTGCGGAGAAGTCAAGCAGCAGGGGAAAACAGCGTTATTGATTCTCGTACATTGGTGAACAACATAAGTCACAAACGGAAACGACCTTTTGGATAGTTTCCACGACACATCGAAGTCGTCACGACATGAACTAGAGCTTTTAATTAGTAATGCCGGGGGTTTCGATGTACAAAAGACAAGCTCAAGGACCTCCAGAGGAACATAAGCACAAGCTTTGATCCAATGCCATTGCACTGTCTAGTTTTGAAGTACGTACCGGTCCAACTTGACAGTCATGGAAAGCAAGACGCAGCATTGCAGCGCTTGCTGTAGGGTCCGTCAGGAAACTAAGCCCCACTGATGTTCGCACTAGATTCTCCACCCCACGACACCCCAAGGTCTCATAGTATCCATACTGCAGCTGAGCTTCCACAACCGGCTTCAGTATCATAGCTACCAGCAGCAAAGCCGCGGCAAGAGTCTTGAATGCCGTCCAAATCCCCATCATGAAGGTCCAGCACAATAGACTGCTGCTTTCAAAGCCGATATACGGAGCTCGAACCTCCAAATCAAAACGAAACAGCAGGCCTCCTTTCCCCTTCAGATGACACTATCGAGGAGTTTCACAATAGGGAAAAATAACAGAACAGATGTCGAAATCACGGAGTTTACAACTTTGGAGCTAACAATTCACATGTTCTCATTCACAAGCTATGAAGCCGCACAAGCTAAACGAAACAAAACGTCCCCAGCCAACAAGGAACGACACAGAAATAAGCAAATGCCGGACACGCTCCCGCATGCGTCCACTTGGACCGCGGATCAGCAGCTGACAAATCTTCCAGTCGGTTTTCGACAGAGTGATGGGATCGATCGACCCAAGAAGCTGAGCTCCTTCAATATTCAGAGCTCTCCAGAGGTAAGCAGTCGTCATCGACTGGTCCCCCCCTAGTCCCACATTGAATGCGGCTGACTACCATGAACTACCAAGCAAGCCATTTGAAAGACGGTTCTCAGCACCGTGAGGAAAAACATTTTTCACTCTTGTTCTATTTCAGAAAGTGGCGTTTTATCAATCCTGGAACCATGTCAGTGCAGCTGTGAACTCCAATAATCAGACACTTGTTCCACTAAGGCTGCTGAGTTCAGGTGGACATTAAGTTTGATCGAGTACAGAAGAGGAGGAATCTACCCAGATATTGAAGTTTCATGGCACATGAGAGGAGGACAGTCATGTCAAGTCAGAGTGACTTGGCTTGTTCTCACATCCTCCTCATTAACCCAGTTCCACTGCAAACCTTTGCAAAATTGTGTTCCTGATGCTGGTCTCTCTCTCTCTCTCTCTCTCTCTCTCTCTCTCACAGTCCTGCTGCCACAAGAAGGCTGCTTGATCTTGTTGGAGGATTTGAGAATCTCTGGCCTGATTCAACTATTCCTTTTTTGCTTTCGTTTACTGACAGAGCATGCCGAGCAAACAATTCAGTAGCCTCCCCAGCATTATCTAGCAATGTAACGGGCCTAAGGTAGTCCTGGCCTTGGGTTGTTAATTCATACCAGTCATATTCCTGCAGCTGGAGCTTAGCTGCACAAGGGTGGTGAACCCACAGCTCTACACAACAAATCCTACACAGTGGAAACAAATGGTAGTACTAAAACACATAGGCAATTCAGTATTGCCACTTGGCAGATTCGCAGGGAACAAGTTTTGTCTTCTGCAGAACTAGTACAGATAAGGAAGCAATGCTCTGCAAATAATAGTCAGGTGGAGTAAAACCCGCTAACACATGCTGCAAATATTAGTCAGGTGGAATTAAACCCACTAACAAATGCTGCAAAAGGAGTCTGGAGGACCTGGGGGAGAGAGCAAGGAATGAACAAAAGGACTGAGCTTAAGAAGTCTTTTTGGATGATGCTTGCACATTCCTCTCTCCACTTAGTGTGTGATTCATGTAGTACAACTGCACTGTGGATATTTTTTAAAGGTTTGAATCCACTTCAACTATTGCCATAATTGGATGCTCATTGAAAAACACGATTCTGCAGGTGCGAGATTTATTTGTTTAGTAATTTATTTTAAATAGTATTTGAATAAGAGAAGTATTTTTGCTCCTCATTACAAGCTATTTCTTTTAAACTCAGGTCTCTCAGGAACTATGAGAGCACGGGTGGTATATGTGTGTTTTCCTTCAATCTTTACAAGGACATTGAGGCCCTTTTGGTGTGAGAATTTAACTGGGTACAACCATAGTGATGTAACTTCCTTGTTCTGGCTACAACAGAAAAGGAATGGATTCTTCAAATCCAGAAGATAAAAATACAAATTTATTCGATCAAAAAACCAGAACAACTAAGATGGGATTCATAGTAAGCAGGATATTATTATGAAATAACTTCAAAGCATATTAACTATGGGTTTTATAATCGTTTTTGAAGTGGAAAGTTTAATATTATTTTATTTTCAATAATATTCAATGATAAAACATAGATGATAGTTTTTATTTTTATTTTTATTTTTTATTATTTTTTTTATAATAATTAAAGTACACGTCTACAAACTGTAAAAATAAATTATGTTAGAATCAATGATAAGGATATAAAATTATTATAGATTATATCAGATGCAATAAAAATTAAATAAACATATAATTCTAAAATTTTCTATAAAAAGATAAATAAATAAGTATAATATACATTAAGTGCTTGATTTACAATATTTTGAAATCTAATATTTGTAATTTTAATTTTAATACAAATTTAATTAATGATAAAAGTGATGAAAGTGATTTGATATTTCTTTGATGATATTTACCAATTTTATAAGGTGCAAAACTATTTTACTAAGATTAGGACATGAAAGTTATAATTTGTAGTTTGGAAAATAATCCAAAGGTATACTCAGAGCTCCAATTCATAGGAACCCTGTTAATCTCAATCTTAAAGTGAGTAGCTTCTTGTGTGCAGGTAGAACAGGATAAAACAAAAGACTTTGTCAAGGCGAGCGACCACAAATGAAATCCCATCAAGTCAAACACCCAATTGTTGGAGAAAGGGCATGTTTCTAATAGAGAGGCCACACAACATCTCCAGCTCCTAAGTTGTAGCACCCACCAATAGTATCCACTAACTTCAACATCAACTTCTCCACAGGGTCAACAATAAATGTCACCACTACAGTATTCAGCGAACAATTCAAATTATGGGCACAAAATTAAACCTGTTGAAAGAGATGGTACTTAAAAAGAAGTCAAAACGTATCGACCCTCTCTGTTCGAAAGAACACATCTGAAATAATTCATGATCCAAGATACTGAGACTCAGCCGATATAGCTCTTCAAACTCTTGCATTCTAGGCTGTTGAATACCTAGTTGGTCCAAGTTCCAACTTTCTGACGATGACATTCTCAAACAAATTGATTCACGTTCTTAAGCTTGATGCTGCTAAAACCCTAACAACGCTCTCTTCTTCCTGCCTCGGCTTCAACATGCAGCACAATTAAAATCCACTGAACATGGAAAATCTCTGTGACAACTAAGACAGCTACTACCCACAAAACAGAACACATTTCAACTACCTCAATCTATCAGTGAAAGATCAGCCTGTTATGAGTTTTTAAAACCAGGAGGGATGTAGTCACAGGTGTACGTAGTCATTAAAGTACATTCTGTGAAATACATTCGATACAAGTGGGAAGAGAAAAAACATACTTGTTGGCAAACGGAACTACAACACTTAGGCGTATACATCTGACTTAACTGACAGCAAAAGAAACCCTCTCGTGGTTGCGGGGTGTGGCATCCACTACTAAGCAGCAACTGACTCACCCCACTCGTGCGATCTGCGTATACTCGGACGTTACCAGAAACAATAAGGACACTCGACTCTATCCAGTTCCACCATTTACATCAACCTCATGGTGGCAAAGAGAGGGTTGTTTTTATAACATAGCTGCATAATTGCAGACGAGAACTAAATTTCAGATATCCAATTCAGAGTATCTGATACAACAGGTTGAAGCCAGAGGTCATATGTCATATCTCTGAACAATGAGAGGCTAAATCATTGTCTTCTCGTTTGTGAAGAACACAACGAGAGAATAAAGATCCTGAAGCAGTTCAAATCAGTCCGTCATTCTTCTCAGTGATAATTTGCAGTGTATCAATGCAACTTAGTTGACTACTGTCACTGAGCATCCTACTTCGTTACAAATTCATGTCCCAAGGCCTTATCCCAAGAAGAGTGGCCAAATGTTAACAAGAAAAGATCAAAAATGTAAAATCAAGGGCTACAGTCTTTTTACTCCATTGCGCCTCGATTTTCTACTAGGAAAAAGCTGCATGATCCAAGTAAACACACGATCAACAACCTCATCCCCTTCATCAACATAATCCAAGGCAGCTGTAGCGTATCTTGATGTACTTAGCCCAGTAGTAGAATTGCCGTCAACCATTCTTTGAGCTACACCGAGTTCCAATTGCTGTGTTGTAGCTTCCAGCTTCTTGGATAAATCAGCATTTTTAGTCCTCAATTCCACACCAGCTTTAGACTCTGCCCTCAGAGCTTTTACGATGGCGCTTTTCTCTTCACTTAGTGAGTTAATGATATCGCTAATGTTGTTGATGGTTCTCATCACATCTACTGGTATTGATGTAGACGTTTCTTGAAGGTTAATACTTTGGTACCCAGCACGTATAAAGCTACCCGCTAACACCGTCAAGGACGATGGCTCAGGCTCCGCGGAAAGCAACTGAGAATATCTCTCGCCAGACAAAGGAGATGGAATGAAAGACTCATAAGTTGACCTAAGATGTGAAGACTGCACAGTACTTTGACTCGAAAGGGGCTCCTCAAATTGTCGACTGTGGCGCCAGGAGTCCAGCGAAGGGGAGATCAAAGGCGTGGAAGGACCTTCACTGGAGATTTTTAGCGGAGAGGGAGGCAAATCATCAGTAGAGGTCGAAGCATCTGCCAAAACTCGTTCTCTAGATTGCGCCGCTTCTGAATTTTCGCTCCTGTAAGAAAACTCTCGTTCACCAGAAGCTACTTTACGTAGACGGACCTGCATAACCTTCTTCTCTTCATTTAATGCATCAATCAAGGTCTGCAAATGAGCACGGTCCTGTTCCCAGGCAGCTGCCAGCTTTTTGCAAGACTCCACCTCAGAACTCAAGTTGCATACGTCCTTCTCCATTTTCAACTCACGAGACCGCAATGTGCGTATGCGATTTTCCAACACAATGACTTCACCAGCCATTAATTGAGATTGTTCACGAGCAGCTTCACACTCTTGAAGAGCTGTGTCTCGTTCAGATAGCGTAGCCGTTGCAAACGCCTCTCGTTCCTTCATCCTCACTTCAAGCCCCTCTATGTCCTGTTTCAGCTGATTCACCAGCTGACCCTGGTACACACAACATTGAAAAAACCGTCGACCAAGTTAGACAGCACAGAAGCACTTACGGAGACATGGATATAAAGGCGGTAAACCATTATCACGATCAAATTAAATGATATATCCAATCAACAGACATACACATCAAGTTTCCACACTGCTTCCTGCCCTAATTTGATATCGACGGGCAGCTTGACCGGTAACGATCCTGCATAGTATACGAACGGAACGTAGTTTGAGTTGCGACACGCTCCCACTGAATGTATATATCCATGTAAAACTTTGAAGAGTAAACATATTCCGCCTAAAAAGCTCAATAAACCACAGTTGTCAAAAAGAGCAACACCTGATTATTAAAATTTTCAACTAGTGCATAATGTTCTGTGACAAAATTCTCTGTCATTGCCCTGGCCTTAGCAAGCTCCCGCTGAAGCCCAAACTTCTCTTCCGTCAAGTCCTGGATATGCTGCTCGAGGCCTGAAAACTCTTCGCGTTGCTTCCTTCTGACTTCTTCTTCTGCACGCTGTCTCCATTTCACTTCCTCGGCTTCGTGTTCTTTCCTCTTGATTGCTTCAGCTTCTTGTTCTCTCTTCTTAATCTCTTCCGCTTCACGTTCTTTTCTCTTAGCGTATTCCGCAAGTAGGAGTTGTCTCCTTTTCACCTCTTCTGCTTCACGCTCCTTCTGTTTAACCTCTTCAGCCTCACATTCCGCTTGCTTTGCAACCTTGACAATCAGAACATTTTGCCTAGCCTGTTCGGCATCCTCGCAGTCCTTCCTCTTAGACTCAACTGCCTCCCATCGCCTCCGCTTCGTCTCCTCTGCTTCATATTCGATCCTCTTGAAACGCTCCACTAATTCCAGTTGTTTTCTCTGATCTTCAGCTTCTCGCTCATTTTTAATTGCCTCTTCAGCCTCAAAATTCTTCCTCCTGGTCTCCTCTATTTCTTGCTGCTTTCGTTTGCCCTCTATCTCCCCTGTATCCTTCCATCTCCCAATTTCTGGCTCGATTGCAAAACTTCCAGAATGTACTACCTCAATGCCCTTGACCACATCTGAGGGTGAGCTTGTAGAGAACTGTGATGATCTCTCGGCTTTAGGGTTTCCGTTCGCAGTGACTTTTGCATCTGGAGTAGCAGACTTCTTACTAAGATCAGGTGATGCATTCTTGTTCCTACTCTTATTCTTACTCCTCTCTTTGAACTTCGCCAACTTCAATTTCCCAGCCTCGAGATGATCTAACTGCGACCTTGCCATGGTTTCTACAGAAGCCATACCAGGCATGATTCGCCACAAATTATCAAACTACACTCATGGCCACCATTACAATGCAAGCCAACTGCTACTCTCCCGCAGAGGCTTACTTATTTCCACTCGCGCTCCACCCCGATCTGCTCCACCGCACAGCATCTCCCATGCTTTTCCCTTCCCGGAGCCAACACTCTGTACATCACACCATCGCGGGCACCAAATCACGCAACCAGCTCCCCTGTCGCGCACTATCTCCGCACCAGCACTTCCATCGTCCCGCACATGACCAGATCCATATTTGACACATCAAACCAGAACCAGAAAAGCAATGACATCAATCGTCAAGAGAGGAGGAAGAAGAAGTAGAAGTAGAGGGATCGGAACAGCAAGAGCAGGGAATGAATCCCATTCATGACCAAGCGTGCAACACACACATTCAATCGGGCCAGGAGCGCGACTGCCTGCACTCCCGAGGTCCGATCCACAGGGGAAGGGGGTTGGGGTTGGGAAGGAGGGGCAGCGGTAGAAACAGGGGGGGGTACCCTCGCTTCCCCAAAATAGCGGGTGTAGTGGATCACGGGCCAGGCTATGAACCGATGTGAGCTACTCAGCCCCACCCCCGCGCCAAATGCGTTCCCTCTGCGTTCCCTCAACGGGTAGGAACCCTTCGCGAAATCCCCGGCCTCTGCAATCCATGATGATTTCCGATGCATTTCAACGGAGCTCTATGAAAATAATTAAAAATAGTTTTTAAATTGTACTTTATCTAATCCACATGAACTTAGATACTTTTGCGAACGATTGTTTCATGTATACTTTCTATTATTGGTGGCGGAGAAGGGTTTTTTATTTTAAACAAGAGATGATTCCAGTGAATTTGCCCTTTTAAAAAAATTAAATTAAATTATAGTGATATATTTGATTGATTTATCTTTGGAATGCTTGTTGTAATTTTATTACCTTCAAGAATGTATACCATGTTGTTAAGTAAATTTTTAGAAAACATTTTTTACTTTGAAGATTCTTTATTTTTAAGTTGCTTGAAATCTAAACATTGAAAATTCCATGCTTGCAAATGGGTGTGTAACTTAATATTATTTTATTTATTATTGCCAGAATACATGATTAGGGCTGTTTATTTTTTATTTTTATTTTTATTTTTTGATATGTAAGATGTCTTGAGTGTAGTTGAATTAGATTTTTTTTTTTTTTTTTTTTTTTTTTTTTTTTAATGAAATAAAATGGTGATTTGGCTTGTATATGCTGTTGTATGGCTTGTATATGGAATATGGCTTGTATATGGAAATTAGTTCCAACATATAATTCCTTGTAATTACTATAATCAATATATGTATTAATTATTTTAATAAAATTGATACATGAATTAGATACATTTAATGAAGTTGCTGAATTTTGAACAAAAAAAAATATAAAATCTATTAAATCAATCCATAGGATAAGATTAATAATTATAAGTATAAATTTTATTATTTTAATTATTTTAATAATAAAAATATTTTTTTAAAACATTAATTTTATTGTATTACCACAACTTCTTATTTTATTTTAACTTGAAAAATATAAATTAGAAGAAAGATGGCATGGTAGACCTTCAAAAGTAGAAATTTTATTATAAAAGAATTAATTAAGAAGAATAAAAGTAAAAGAAATGAGTTTATGCTATATAAGTGAAATAAGACTAGTCTATCTTTAATGTCTAAGACTCTTCAAATTCATAGCAATATAAAATCTCATCTCAAAATAAGACAAAATGGATCAAAACAAAATTGAAGAGAATTAAAAAGAATAGGATACAAAAGACAAAACTCTGCAAATGAAAAATAGAACAAAACAAAGCTGAAAAGGAAGATGCAAAACCAAACTTTATTAAGAGAGTAGGTCCAAAGCCGTACCAGACCAAATGCCCCAAAAAGCCCTGACCAGCCCTATTTATACTTTATTCTACCACCCTAGACTTTCTAAAATATTCTCAGATGTTGGATCCTACTTAGATAACCGCCTTAGATTCCTTCTAGAAGGTTCTATGGTAGATTCTACGTAAATAACTACCTTAAGCTTTTTTTAGAAGGTTCTATGGTAGACTCCACTTAAATAATTATCTTAAATTCTTTTTAGAATGTTCCACGGTGGATCCTACTTCGTCCATTAATCTAGCCTCAATTCTAGAAACTCCCAAAATTTCTCAAATATGGTTCCAACTACCTATCTTTATGTGTCAACAATACAAATATCTCATTTATACCCTGTTACAATTAATTCCATTTTACTAATGATGAATACCCTTATTTTTCTTCGAATGGTATCTCCAAATTGCCTCTTGGCATTGGATGAAATTCTATACATGTTCCAATGTTACATCATAGATGGGATAATCTTTTCAAAAAAAATTATATTGAAATTGAGGACATCCACTGCCATGGCAAAGGTAGCGATGTTTCAAAATGCTATCCACTTCATATTCTTGTTAGTCATCAACTACAACTAGTGGTGGTGGTGGTTGATATCAATCCAAAAAATGCTTCGATTTGGTATGAAATTCCTTCAGTTATAAAACATGGAAAACTAGATGGACCCAAATATGTGGCAGAAGTTTGAGGTACTATGCAACATCAAAAATCACTACAGAAATGTAAAAAAGGTCCAAGCCATCGAGATGCCAATTTATGGATTTGGATTGATGTAGCAAGTAGCAAGTTGGTATTAGAAAGTAACACTTGATTATTCTCCTAACAATTATCCGCATATTATTTTTGTCAATTTTATGCAATAAAGACGTGATGTCATGCCTCTTATAAGGCTATTGTAGTCTGTTGTATAAATTTCTGAGTTGTCAGATTGTTGATATCGATGGGATGATAGAGAATTAGTGATATAATTATTTACTGACCGGAATTATGATGAATGGTCGGTACTTGTTTGGATACTATCATTGTAAGCAAATTCCAAGGACATCAAGTATTCATCCATGTCATTATGATGAACTACTAAAAATGCCCATAACATATCTTTCAAGATCTGATTTGCAAGCTTTATTTGTCCATCATTTTTGAGATAGAAGATTGTAGATATGACAAGTTGTATACCTAGTAGCTTAAACAAGGCTTGCCAAAAACTTCTCATGAAGTGTGGATCTCCATCTAAAATGATTACATGAAGTAATCTATAGTGACAAAAAATAGTATCAAAGAAGATTTGTGCAAGTGTTGAGGCATCAATATCCAAGTGCAGTGCGGCTAAGTGAAGTTGCTTTGAGAGTCAATCCACAAAGATGGCAATTGCTATATAATTATGATGCATCTGCAGTAAACATGTAATGAGATCCATAGTCACATACTCCTAGTGTGTCGTAGATAGTGAAATTGGTTGCAATAATCAAAGTGATGCTACATTGTGTATTTTGTTATATTGACATGACTCGCAAGAGTATACAAAAGCTCAAATATCACAATCCAAACCTGTCCAAAATCATGTCCTTGAGATTCATTTTAGAGTCTTCTCTCGCCCTAGATATCTAGATATTGGTATATAATATCTCTCTTCAAGTATATACATTTGGAATATAGCATTTTTAGATACATAAATCTGCTTCTTGAAATAGAGCAAGCCATTATCAAGATTATAATCTTGATACTGTATATCACCCACCTTCAACTAATCGCTAATCATCTTGAAATAAGCATTTAGATGCATAGCTTCCTTCCATTCTGTCTCATTAGTTAGGTTTGAAATGACACTACTAATGGTAATGACTTCTGTCTTATTTCCCGATTCAGCTTTCAAATCTAATCTTTACAATAAGCTGTCTAACACAGTTTGTTGTTGCCTTTACTTGTACTTAAGCTAGATATCAAAAAATTACAATTGTTCTTTTCAACAATGATATTGTGATTTCATATTTTTTAGATACAAATCATATAGCAAGGGTCAATAGTCAGTTTAAACAACCACTAGCTTTTTTAATAGATAATATCACTACATCTTTGTGGCATGTATAATTGGTAATTATTCTTGATCATGTACAAAGTAATTCTACTTTGCCCTTTTGAGCTTGCATGATTCATATGCCACAGTTTAAAAGTTCCTACCAAAATCTTCTTGAAGTATCACTTCAATAGCAAAGTCAAAAGTATCAATATTAAGTATACAAAGAAGGTTGAGATCATACGATTGCAATATTGGAGCAATAATGAGTGCTTCTTTCAACCTATCAAAGGCACTTTTTTGCTCTAGTTTCTATTCAAATGAAGAACCTTTCATCAATAAGTTTGTCAATAAGGCAACAATGTGCACAAATTGCCAAACAAAATGGTGATAATATCCAACAAGACCTAAAAATGAAGAAACTTTAAAAGCATCCTTGAGTGTTGGCCAATCTTCCACTACTTTTATCTTATCTTTTTCTATGCGCATGTCTTTGGAAGACACCACATGCTCTAAAAAAATGATTTTTTATTTCTAAAGTTTATATTTTGATTGTTTTCAATAGAAGCAACTATCTTAAAGCCAACATAGCATTTCTCGTAGGTGTTGCTTATGCTCCTTAGAAATTTTATTATATATAAAGATATCATCAATGAAGACAATTACATAATTATCCAAAAAGTTACAAACTAATCTATTTATATAATCTATAAAAGAGGCTAGAGCATTACTAAAGCCAAAAGATAAAACAAGCCATTCAAAATGTCCATAGCACATACAAAATGTTGTCTTTTCAATATCCTTTCTTGTAATAGGTATTTGCCAATATCCACTCCAAAGATCCAATTTACTAAAGATAGTCACATCTTAAAGTTGATCAAGAAGATCATCTATACATAGAAGTAGATATGTATTTTTAATAATCTGCTTATTGAGGCCTCGATAGTCAATACAAAGCCAAAGTCCACCATCTTTCTTAGGTGCAAAGAGTATAGGTTCTCTCTATGGTGATGTGTTTTTTAAAATATAATCCTTTTCCAAGTATTTGTCTAATATTTTTTACAACTCTTCAAATTCATTTGGTGCTAGGTAATAAATTGGCCCATTTTTTGATTTGGCTCCAAGCAATAGTTCTATTTAAAAGGGAGGCACCTCCATAAAGAGACACGTGACTAGGTAGATCAGTT